TTAAGAGAGTTTACCAAAGAGAGGAGTAGGGATGTTCCCACTTCAGCACCGGCCCAAATACCGCAGATAGCAAACCCGCCAGTCACCAGACTGGAGGTATAGAAAATCTTAAGCACATTGAACACCAGGAAGTATGCCGGTCTAGATAGTACACATATAGCAATGTTGAGACCTACTGCAGGACTAGTTGTTGAACCGTTAGCCCGGATTTTCCATCGGTCGGTTGCCACAACCACGCTACCATCATACTGGAAACATGCCGAAGTTATCCGGATCCACAAGGTAGGTACCAAGGAAGAAGCTGCAAACTATCACCTGGTAAGTCTGCTTTCTCTACTACTAAAATTCCTCAATAACGTTCTTAGGGGTCGACTGAGCTCAAATATAGCATAAAACGGTCTAATTGCTATGTACCAGCACGAGTTCACGAGAATGATGTCCTGTCTCACAAATCTTTTGTCTTTCCTGGATAAATTAACGGGTGGGATTGATCAAAGTGAAACTATTGAGGTGTTTTAAATGGAAATTTAAAAAGTCTTTGACTCCGTTGACCACCACTACCTCCTAGCCGAGATGAGGGCACTCAATATAAATGAAGGTAGCATACAATTGATTACAGTCCCCCTTTTATGTCAGGGTGTATAAAGCGAGACCTAGACGAGCAGGTGTGTCGAGTGGGGTTCCACAGGGTTCAGTTCTGGGTCCGTTTCTGTTCCTGATCTATGTTAACGACGTGGCTGGAGTCTCGCATCTCCAGCATTCATCTTCGAAGATGATTTCAAACTAGTAGGTAGGCCGGGAGGTAACGAAATGCAGGAAGATCTAATAGGCTATACAATTGGGCGACGGGGTGGGAGCTCCCAAATTACCCAGACAAGTGCAGTCACCTAAAGAACTCCGGGATATCAACGAAATGTCACCTAAAATCCGGAAAACCCCAGGTTAGTCACACAACCTATTCCACATTTCACGAGTGGCACTGTATCTTCACAGTGGAAAACTTCGGTAGTCATACCAAAGCTCAAAAGAGGTTCCCCCCGCGACCAAAGCAATTACCGTCCAATCAATCACACAGTAATAGTTTTTAGAATAATGGAAAAAATTATTAAAACGCAACTCACTACTTTTCACTTGTTCAACGGACTCATCAATGCTACACAGCATGCCTTCATTCAAGGTCGATCTTGCACCTCTTGTCACCTCGACTTTATGGACTTCATAACTAAGGAAGCGGACAACGGCAAAGAAATGATAATTTTTTACCTAGATATGACAAAAGCACTCCTGGACAAATTGCAAAGTTTCGGAATAACTGACTCTCTCCTCTCGTGGTTTTATTCATATCTTGAATCCCGAAAACAAGTCGTTTCGACTGATGGACACTTGAGTGAATTCAAACCCATCACCAGTGGGTTATTCAACGTTGCGCATTTGACCCCGAAATACATCCCATGTACGCTGTTGATATTTTTGACGTAATACGTACAGGAAATGCATTTTCATTTGCCGACGACAGTAAAATAGTGTATGCATTTAGGGATTGTGACACAGAAATTCTTACCCTACATCCATTTGATCTCGTTTTCGTCTGACTCAGCTGGCTCACCTCCATGGCACATGCTAACCAGGTAGCAGTGTCCACTTTTACAACCAAATCCATATTAGTACACGGATCCAACTTTGAAGCTGGATCTATGGAACACAATCTACTTTGGTACATACTTTTATAAGTATTGTTACCCATCGTTCATTACTTCGTATCCATCTGATTGCGTTTTCATCCGACCCAATCGGCTCATATCCGTGGCACATGCTAATCAGGTAGCTATGTCCATTTTCTCAACTGATGTTCTACCAATGCACGTATTTACCCCATTTTGGATCTGTAGCGCAAGACATATTTTGATGACATCCTTTTACCAGTATTATGACCTAAGCACCCAC